TTTAATAAAATAATATTTTCCATCACATCAATAACTTTTCATTTCTTTTCAACCACACACTCCATCAATCTACTATTTCAAAATACATTCTTCCAAAATAATGTGGATCAAACACACCCTAATTAATTATAATTAAATTATCTCGTCATGCATCACGTTGTATTATTAATTATCATAATCATCATTCACATCACAATTGCCCTTGCATCATCACTTTAAGCAACGTCATTACCATTGAGGTTAATTATCATTATATCAAACAAATCTATTAATTCAAGATAATCCATAGGGTCGATGTGGTCCAAATAACATAAAATTTTACGAAAATATTTGTATTTCGATGTGGTCCAAATAACATCATAATTGGAAGCCTGAGTATTGTAGCTATCGTCTTTACAACAAATACCGTCGACAATCTATACAAGTGTGAACATATGATAAACATTTAATTTTCTATCTACTTAATCTATATTGATATTTAAAAAAAAAAATTTTTTTTTTTAATTCTTCAACTTGTATTAAACCCAACTCAAAAGGAAAAGAAAACTTTTACTTCAAGATATTTCCATTGTATTTTCTGTTTTTGAGTGTAATTTTCGTCTTTAATCTAAATAAATGTCACGAATTATTGTAATCAATTAAAAGTTAGGGTAAAGTTATTCAAACAGGACCATTGACAATGGGGGAAAAAACAGGGGTATGTGTCGCACCTGTTTGGATAAAAAATATTTTTTTAAACTGTCGAATCATTGAATGACATGTGGTCCACCTGTTTTTTTACCTATCATTGACCATGTTTTTGTAGCAAACCTCAATTAAAATTAAGGACATTGTTGACAAAATCTCTTCCATAATCTCAGCTAACTAATCTCTCTATGATCTTAGCACTGTGATCTGATCCTTTCCAACATCTATTACTCCCTCATTGTAATTAAATTAATTAAGATTGTTGGGGCAAACAAATCCCACATTGATTGTGGGAAGAAAATAAATCCACCATACAACCCAAATGGGTTACTCCACCCATTACTAATTGGTTTTGGTAGAGTAGGCTTGAGCCTTGAGTAATTGCTCTCAATAATTCTCTAACAGTGGTATCAGAGCCCATGTTGTGTGGCTAGATAAATCG